GGCCTTACTGCCTTCAAGGAACCTCTACGGTCCCCCGAACACAACGCACCCTCATTTTGGCTGTATGTGGCCGGTAAGTTGTTTGGAATGTTTACACACATGTGGGACCCATTCAAAGAGATCGTAAATATGGGAATTATAGTAAAATATATTACCGACTCTGGTTCGGAACAGAAGAACTCAAAAAGKTTCTTCGAATTATCTTGCCATATATTCCTGTTCAAAGTATGCTAAGAAAAACGATGTTGCTTTACAAAGATGCTAAATTTCAACAACGCTGGATCTTGGTTTAAAAATGCAGAATCTCGTCTTAACCATCATTTATCTGGTCTTTTTGGAGTTAGTTCATTGGCTTGGTCTGGACATTTGGTTCATGTAGCTATTCCAGAAGCCAGAGGACAACATATAAGGTGGGGCAATTTTTTGACTTCTATTCCGCATCCTCAAGGATTCAATTTATATTAGAAGTAAAAAATCATTCCAGAATCAAGCACAATGACTTGTTAGCTACTTTACATAATCCTGCACATAAAACATGCACTGCGGGAATGGTAGGAAGACAATTAGGTGCTGAACATTCTCAAAGATTAGAATCTTATTTTCAATCAGTGCCAGGACTTCAGATCGTAGAACAGTAGCAAAAAAAACGTATACTTATTTAGACAAACAAAAGAGTTTGTTATTATTAATGGAGAAAAGATTGGACATTCTTCTTGTACGTATGAATTTTTGCTCTATACATTCATTTTTAGGGTGCGTTATGTTTGGGGGAAGAGGGTAGCAGCCACGTGTACTTCCCCAGAGAGTAATGTCAGGCCCTCACTATGTACGACCACCTTTAGCTAATCCGCTTCCTATCGGTAGTGGGTCCGAACCCTGGATTCGAGCCTTGGTCTGCCTTTTCCCTGGGTGTACGAACTGAGCTACAGTAGGCCCGTTGGTCCTTGGCCAGGTTTTTTTTTTTTTTTTTTTTTTTTGGGACGCTCCATCTATTGGTGGGGAGCAACTGCAGGCAACACAAAACATGGGCCGACCGATGCCGCCTACCTATCGAAAGGCGGCGGTTGCCGATCTGAAGCAAGCGGCCCAGGAGTGGTGTCCACACGTCAGTACTGGTTCTACCACCAGGAAGTGCGTGTCTAGGGGTTTAGCATGTCAGCAGGCACGGGGAGAGTGCACATGGGGACAGGCCTCCTGCACGCTCGGTTTCTAGCAGAGGAGTGGATGAGATCGACGAAGGAAACAGTTGTGGTCGATGCTCTCGTCGGGATATACGGACGCAGCAGGTGGATTCACGATGTCGGCGATGATGGCTTCCAAGCTTTTGGGCTTATCGATACCTTGCTTGTTCCATTTCGATGTGAATGGGCCTGTGAAGTCACAAGTGTAGTGAATGAATGAAATCTATGCGATCAGAATCGAGGGGACAAGGCAACAAGAAAACATCACCGCCTGTTGCAAAATTTTGACCTAACCCTTGCTTGAAGGGGCCTCCTTCGTCGAGTTGCTGCCGCGTGCGACGCGTCGCGTGGGTGCACTTGTCGTCGTTGGTCTCTTTCGACAATTCCCGAGTGGTCTGAACAGGAGACGGGAGGCAGGGCCAAAGAGGAGGAGGGAGGGAGAGTGAGGGGGGTAAGGAGGAGGGAGGGAGAGTGAGGAAGGTAAGGACGGAGGGAGGGAGAGGGAGGAGGGAGAGGGGTGAGGAGGAGGGAGGGAGAGGGATAAGGACGACGGAGGGAGAGGG